CTCTCTCTCTCTCTCTCTCTCTCTCTCCCTCTTCCTCTCTCTCTCCCTCTCTGAAAAATTTCGTAACCGATTTCCAAAAAGACACCAGTTCCCAAAAAGATCGATAACAAAAAACTATACAGTTTACAGCACTCCCCGGGAAATTTTACCCCTGTTTTTATATACAATTCTTTAAGATTCGATCAATTATTTCCCGAAAAATTCGTCAAACTTCTGATACCAGTTTCCAAAAAGATCGGTAACGAAAAATTATATACTTTATAGCACTCCTCGGGAAATTCAACCTCTACTTTATGTACAATTCTTTGAGATTCGGTCATTTGGAACCGGTTTTCAAAACGATTGGTAACAAAAAATAGTACACTTTATAGCACTTCCCGGGAAATTTTACTCCTACTTCATGTATAATTCTTTGAGATTCAATCAATTATCCTACTTCATGTATAATTCTTTGAGATTCAATCAATTATTTCCCGAAAAATTGGAAAAATTAAAAAACCGGTTTCCAAAAAGATCGGTAACAAAAACTGTACACATCATGGCGCTCCCCGTAAAATTCTACTCTTACTTCATATACAATTCTTTGCGATTCGGTCAATTAATTCCCGAAAAATTGGAAAAATTTCTAATACCGGCTTCCAAAAAAATTGAAGAAATTAGAAAATCCGGTTTCCAGAAGATCGGTAACGAAAAACTATACACCCTATACCACTCCCCGAAAAATTCTACCTCTACTTCATATACAATACTTTCAAAATCGCTCCAATAGTTTCTAAGATTACCTCGAACAACACTAAAAACTTTTCGCCTTTATATAATAGTAGAGATAATGGAATACGAACATCGACATCATGAGAATATTTTATCCGTTTCAGTTTTTGCAACATTTATGTTTTACTTCATGCAAGTATAATCTGTCATTAGTATAAGTCACAAGAATTAAAATGCTAGTGACGCTGATATTCATATGCTTCTTCTTTAATCATATAATGTATGTGAAAAATTTGTGATACTTTTTGACATTTTGCGTTAGAATTTCGCATCCAACGAATACATCGTAAATGTATACGTTTTAGATATTTAAATCCTTAAGATACACATTTAAACGTCACTATAGAATCGCACAATTACTTTCTAAAAGTCGAAGAATGAAATATTACTCAAAACGAGTGAAATGTAAGTGTAACAAAAAGTGAAAATTGATCCTGCGAGTGATTCGCCACTCTAAGAAATAGTAAAATTGTGCTCTACAAGTTGAAGTGAAATCGCACTCCTTTTGAGTGAAAGGGGCACTTTTTTTGAATGCAGTAGATCAGTGTCCATAGGAGTAAATTATGTTACTCTACAATTTTGATTGGAAAATTTCAATCTCTGTTAGAGATATCAGTCGAACTTTAGTGAATCGTGATTCACTGTAGCTTTAGAGTGAGATCGTCTCCGAGATCACTCCGGTGGAGTAGCCGCTCTAAAAATTTGAGTGAAAAATTTACTCCTATCTTATAGGTGTCCACATTTACTCAAATTAGAGTGAAACCCTCTCTTTTAAAGTAACTATCGCAATCACTCTAATATATTAGTGGCTAAACTACTCTATGAGATTTAGAGAGTACCTACGCATTGAGCTTCAGGGATATGTCTTTCTGAGGTATCCCAGAATTGGCATAAATCCGAGTCTTCCGTACAGACGGAGAGAAAGAGTGGGGAGGAGAGAGAGAGAGGAGAGAGAGAGAAAGGAAGAGATTAAAACGAGTTTTTTTTCTACTGTTACGGGGTCAGCGTATGCATAATCCAGCTAATTACGGATGCAGATTTATGCAGTATGTTATGCAACGCGCAAAGCGCTCGTCACCCGGCCAAGTCGGAAGGAAGATGAGGGGAGGCAGAAGGGGAGGGAGAGGAAAGTCGTCGAACTTGTCGCGTGCGTGGTCGATGTCTTGCAAGCTCTCTCGAAATAGCAGCTGTAAGATGAATGGCCGCAAAGTGATCGTTTTTAAGAGATTGCAGAATCCGCAATTTGCATCACCGCACCGACGAGGTCGTTTCACGTCCGAAAAATGCCGTCAGTTCAACTAATTATGCCTATATTAATGGAGCGGTCGCGTATAAACAAAAACTTGAAACTTTCTACGAAAATTTCAAATATCGCGCGAAAGAAAGTTTTGCATAATTTCCTGCTCGTTTATTTTTAATCAACAAAGATTGACATTTTTTACCACTTTTGAAATTTTTCGTAAACAGTGTTTGCATAAAGAAAAGATAATGATATTTGCCTACACAGTAAAAAATGTTGTGTTAAATTTAACACATTTCACATGTCCCAATTTATCCACTCAAATTTTCGTGTTAATTTAACATAAAGCAAATATGTAAAAAAATAACAAACGTAATATGTAAAAAATTAACATAAAAATTTAACATTTAGACGCTTTCAGAAATCAAAGTTTATGTTAAATTGACATCTCTATAATGTTAAATGTAATTAAGATAAGATGTTATTTTAACATTTAAGATAAGTATTTATTTTTAGTTTTGATCTTTTTTTGATGAATAACATAAGAATTATGTCAATTTAACACATAGTAACTGTTATAAAAAGGAAGATAACACAATTTATCTATTCACTTTAACATATAAAATATATCACCAAGAATTCATGCACTTACATATATAAATTGTGTTATTTTAACTCTTAAAAATAGTTAATATTAATTTAACATAGAAAAGTTAAGTAACACAACAACGATATGTTAAATTAACATACAACTGTGTCAGAAATTTAACACAAAACTTTCTACACAGGAAAATTTTAACACAAATACAAAATGTTTTTTACTGTGTAACTATTAAAATAAATAATGAAATCATTTTTTGAAATTTAATTCCAAGGCTGTCCTTCGCGTGAATGGCAGTATCTTCACTAAAGCAATGCAATTATGCATAACTTGAAAACGTGTCAATGTTAGTTTTCCGCGATGTCAAAGATTACCTGCTTCGTATCAAGATGTCGAGAAACTTACGGAGACTTTAATTAGGCGCCCGTGTCATCGCGATTCGATCGTGGACACCCCAAGTACCCTTACCGCAATGCAGAGTGCACGTGTCGCAATTTCGTACGTGCATGTGCCCAAGTGAAGTGAGTACAATGTAAATATAACTTTAAGTGCCTTTTACCGCGCACGGCAACTCAAGATTTACAGTCGCGTGAAGTTCACGTAATTTGTTTCACGTACCTATATTAGCATACGAAACGTAATAAGAAAAAGATCCAATGTCACTCAGGTGTGCTATTTTTTCCCCGTGACACGCCGGTTTTCGATATGACGGACGAATAACAAACAGTGCGACGTTTGGGTTGACGGTCCCACTTTTCGGGGACGTATCCTTTTCTTAAGCGTTTACAGATTGCCTGATGTCTCTCAAATTTGTTTTAATTTCGCAAACTGTGAAAATTTAACATTAAGACTACTAAGGAGATAAAAATAACCCGTTTGATATTTTTAAATAATTTATTACTTATTCTTATAATATCTTAATTTCTAAAATTTTCCCTGATTTTTATTGAAATTACATAGATGATTAATTTTATTAATTTATTTTCTCTTTTTCTTTTTTCTTTTCTAAGATTTCTTCGGTAAAAATAAATATAGATTAATTTCTGGTAGTTCTAGTGTTAAACATATTTAATCCCGCAATGCTCTAAATACACTTTATTTAAATACATTTAACTGTCTACTGAAATTATTAAAGCTCCGTATTGCGTCAACACTTAAGGTCGATTCAGACACAGCCGTGCCGTACCCGTACCGTATCACGGACAGAAACATTAGACAAGGATTCCTATTGTCTCCATCCTTGTTTAATGTGTCTTCATCCTTGTCTAATGTTAACGATACGGATACGGTACGGGTACGGCACAGCTGTGTCTGAATCGACCCTTATTCAGTTCTATCGTAACACTTGAATGATATCTATAAACATTCAAAGTAAATATTATCAGAATATCAACTATTATTAGAAATATTAAATACATTTAATGTATGATATTTCCCTTATTTTTCTGAAATGCTTTGCTTTGTTTTGTTACGTGATGACGTTTATTTTTCCTTCTCTTTATTATCATGAAGATTTGCAGGTGACCTAGTTTTTTCTATTATTATTCTAGTCGCACATAAAAAGATATTATCGTTCCAGTCCGACGTCACATTCTACGTAAATCATACGTGGAGACAGTTACGCGCACTATGCTTCTTCCGGAAGTAACATTGGAGCTAATATTAGAGCTAATATTGAAGATAATAGTTTCCAAAAATTCAACAACTTTATTCGATTAAGCTTCTAAAATCCTATTATGTTTTTTTTTTGTTTGTTTAATCGACGGATTAAACTGTATTAGTTGGCTGGTAATGCATAGCCACGGACAATAACGATTTTCTTTTTTACACCGCGAAGCTTTGCTCTATCAGGCACGAAAAAATGCTCGGATGCTCGTAAAAGACTTAAAAGAGAAAGCCCGACCATTCTCCGTCCAATGAAAATATTTTTCACGGCATGTAAGTCGTTGTGTTCAGTGGCGCGCACATAGGTGGACCTCAATGTTGGAGGAGTTAAAAATCGCTGAATAAATAATTGAAGCGTGATAAAGTGAAACACCATATAAATAATGATTAAAACTATGATTACAGAATAGAAAATATTTATTAATAGAGCGTGATATGTGCAACGCGTATCAAGTAGATAGAATTGTTACTATCCGAATTCTTCGTTACAACATTAATATTTGATGTATGTTCAGTGGCTATAACATGCAAATCATGTCAACGTAAACTTCTACTCGATAGGCTCTTTTCCATACCTAAACACAATTTTTTTAACGTTCCGTTTCTCGTAAAGAAAAGATCTAACTGTTAAACATCACGAGGATACTCTCTAAATTTCATAGAGTAATTTCGCCATTAATATATTAGAATAATTGCGATCCACTCCAAAAGAGAGGATTGTCACTCTAATTTGAGTAAATTTGCGGGCACTCATAAGGTAGGAGTGAATGTTTTACTCAAATTAGAGCGGCTACTGTATCGGAGTGATCTCGGAGACGATCTCACTCTAAAGCTCGATTTATTAAAGTTTGACTGATAAATAACACTAACAGGGGCGGCAGTGTGGTCTAGTGGTAGAGCGCCAGACTCGTAATCTGAGGAACCAGGTTCGAGTCCACTAGAGCCATGTAAGCATGGATCAATGTTTTTCCGGTAGCTGCGCCCCTCCGTGCAAGATAGGCTCTTGTGCGGAGAAAACTGGGCTCCGTCTTTCGGAAAATGACGTTAAGCCGTTGGTCCAAAGAGTTAAAGTGAGAAGAGAAGGATAGTATTGGTAGTAGATTGCGAACCCTACGGGGATATGCAATAAATTACGAATTTTACAGGAATAACACTAACAGAGTGAAATTTAATTTTCTACTCAAAATTGTAAAGCGACATAATTCACTCCTATGAACACTGATCTAATTGCACTTGAAAAGAGTGCCCTTTCACTCAAATCGAGTGTAATTTCACTCCAACTTATAGAGCGCAATTTTACTCTTTCTTAAAGTGGTGAATCGTTCGAAGTGCACAGGCTCAATTTTCACTTTTAGTTACACTTACATTTTACTCATTTTGAGTGATATTTCACTCTTTGATTTTTAGAGAATAATATAAAATCATCATATCTAATTGTTAATTGCTTACAGTCTTACTGCAACTTCTAAATTTTTAAATTACAATGCAACTATTTCTGCATCATAATTTTACTGCCGCTGTCGTTCGGGAACGTTTCAGCCCGAGTCAAGTCAAGAGATCCGTTTATCTCGCGTTTCATAATTCTCATATCGCCTAAAAACGCATTTCGCTTTCTCCGACAAGAGAATCTCTCGCCGGGGGCAGGGTTGGGGGTGGTGGAGACTGACGGTTTAACTTAAACAAACTCTTCTCCTACGACTTTACGCCACTGTGAGCGCGCGAGGCCGTTGCGGAACGCGCTCGTAGGCGGCCGCCGGAGTATAAAGGCGGTCCAACGTAAACCGCAAGCTCCATTTGTTGCTCGCAAGCCCCGCGGCTCGCCGAGGCGGGCACCACCAAACGGAGGCGGCTTTTGTCAGTTGTATTTTCGTTGGCACGGCACCCGGCACCGCAGCCGCGGTATACCACGGCCACGCAATCCGGAGGAAAGGTCAGTCGGCGTCGCTCGACGACTCGTACGAGACAGCCGCGCAAATTGCTGAGACATCTGATCCGCGTCTGGTCCTTTTATCGGCCACGCGATTCTTATTATTGGCCCACGCGAGCCTCTGCCGGATATGTGTTCTGTCGTGACCCGATTCGACTCGAACGTTACGAGTGCGATTCTTCTCGTGAGTGCGCGAAGCCAGCAACGTCTCAATCGAAATCTTTTCAGATACAAACAGTTAGTTGCAGTCGAGATGTAATTGTTTATTTATAGTTTTTTTTACGTAATTTTTTAGATATGGAAAAACTGCGCGTCGCGATGCTTTGGCTGTTGAATTTTTAAAGCGCGCGTAAAATAAATGATATTTTGATAATGATTTTAATAAGACGAAACGGATTACACGAAATTGTATTAATATACTGTAATATACAGGGTATTTCCTAAGTAAGTATAAAAAATTGAAGGTGATATTCCGTGGCTTATTTTAAAAAGAAAAGATTTTATAAACATAGGTCCTAAACTGCTTCGTTTTCAAAATATAAAGTGACAAAAACGCATGCCCCTGGTGGATCTAAAAGTGTTTTATTGGTACTGGAAAATGGTTCTTAATATCACATGTACGCATATAGTATAAAATATTTCTAAAAGTTTTCCAGATTTTCCAAATTTTCATTTTTTTCCACAACTTTGACACCTTGTATTTTGAAAACGAAGCAATTTAGGGCACATGTTTATAGAGCTTTTTTTTCTTAAAATAAGTCACAAAATATCCCTTTCAGTTTTTTACTTATACTTAGAAACGACCCTGTATTATGTTGAAAATATGACTGAAGTGTTATTGCTGCTTTCTGGCTTTCCAGTAGACTGTTGAAATATTCGAAACAAATCTTGCTCAAACAATTATATCATGCTGATTATTATTCTAGCAGCTATTAGTTCGATAGTGATTTCATAATAATTTCAAAAGATACGTAAATTTATTCGCGAATTAACGGTTTGTTTGTGCATTATTGCAGCTGTAATCTAGGATGAGCTCGCAAACGGATCATCGGAGATACCATTGGCAAATGAAACGCACGGCTGAATAATGTACTGTGAAGCAGTAATCTCGCGCTATCATTATTATGACGTAGCCCGAGAAGAAGGATGCAGCACGACAAAGGAGGATAGAAGACACGGAACGCTCGAAAAGATGCATGTACAGGTAATAAATTACATCGCTTTTAAGAATTTCTCCAGGATTGCTTTTGCAAAACCTTGCATGGATATTCCCATCGTAGACATAATTAAAGAACATTGAAAATTGAAGGATTTGCTGCTTTAATTTTTACTTATAATTTCAAATGAAATATTTTATTTCAAGGATTAGATGATGATATTTTGCTACAGGTCCTAAAAAACAAATATTCTTGTAAAGTTTGAATTACATTTTTTTAGATTTGAATTAATTGTATGCGCAGACTGACGTCTTGCTTCTGCACCGTAAAGACGCACGGCTACAATAAGAAGCAGAAGTGGAGACGGACACGTGTGCGGAAGGATACGCGGTCCATATCCGGCCCGCCATCCTGGCGGCATGGTCTTTTGGGCCACAATACTAATCCTCCAAGGAGCTGGATTCGTAGGTGAGCGAAGAAGTAAAACGGAAAGCATTTAAAATATTTTATAAGCTGTTGAAGGAATCTTTGTGGAAGGTATTGAGAGGATTGAACAGTTCTCGCAACGTTTACTTTTATTCGTATTAAGACAAAGTACTCGCTTGTTTCGCCTTATGAGAGACACTAACGTCTAAGTAGAGCTTGGCTCGTGCCTCTCGCATTGCTCGAACGTCTCCGGAGAGATCCGAATGTTTTCAAAATGCGTACAGAGTGAGACAAGATTCGCGATAAATCTTTGCATTAATATAAGCAAAAAATTGGATTTATTGGCACACAATCTACAAAATACAGATAATGATACATTGAGAAAAAAAATAGTTGTACACAATTTTACTATTAAATAGTTACTATTACATAGTTACCTACTATTAAATACCTAATTACTATTAAATAAAATAGCTACCACAATTTCACCATGTTTTTATAGTTATTTTAACAATGCGAATTATAGCTGACTCAATATTATATTATTGTTTTTATAGCTATAGCATGCATTTATTCACCCATAACATGATTTTATTCACTATAAACTATGACTTATGTAAGTCGTATTATAAATATGATAAAAATGATCAGAATTGAAAAATTTGTGTACCTATATAAGATTATTTTTATTATTATTAGCAATAATAGCAATAATAATCATAAATACTGATAATCACAAATAAGAACCTCAACCACGATTATTTTAGTATGCAATTATAGTGGCAAATATCAAACATTTATCTTCCAATATAAATTTTAATTTTAAAAATATTTAAAAAAATGTTAATATAGGCGGCTATATATACAAGTCGAATGTTAACAATTCATTAAGAAATAAGATCGAGTTAAATTTTTTCTAAGAATGAATTTTACTTCCCTGATCGGTCGAGGGACTCGCGGCAAAGAAATGGGGATAGTTTTAATACAGCCGGCGAGCGGATATTATCGTATAACGACAGGTACTCCATATTGATTGTTCGCAGGCTCGGTGACAGGCATTCCCGGCGTCCCGGAAAACATAACGGTGATGTTCCTGAATCCGACGTCTGTGCGCGTGTCTTGGAGTACCAGCCAGGTCGACCAGGTCGAGAAATACGACGTCACGTACAAACCAACCGACGCCAGGTGCGTTCCAGTTATTCCAATATTGCGAGTAACGCGCGGAAGGATTCAAATTTTTATCTTACACCGCGTAAACAGCATCCGAATAAAAAGTGCCGCGTTCTATCGGGTATCAGATTTTTTTTCAAAAGAAATAGAATTTTCCAATAAAATGTTCCATTTGCTGTGATTACATCCTTCATAACGCCTAAATTCATATTAATTATTATTCTTCGCACATTGTTCTTCGAAAACGTGGAAATTATTCACAGAAATTTTGACTTATCAAGTAATATCGCTGCGAATCTCTTTCAACTTCAAAGTCACTCTAGTCTTATGCAAACTTTATGGTTCTTATATATTGTCAGTATTGCGTCTCGCGCACAATTCCTTCTACGTTGCGTTCAACAATAAGAACGCGCGAGTTTTATCGTTCGCTCTTATTCGACAAGAAAAATTTTGCTTATTCAAAAAAGAGGTCGATAATTCCTCGAATTAAATTATTATACATTTGTCCTGTTTTATAAGTATAACTGAGGAATCGAAGAATAACACACATCACTTTCGTTCGTTCGTTCGAAAATCTACATTTCTCTCTTTTATCTTTCCTTCCTCTCGCACACTGACACAATTGAAACGCTGACACACTTATATGTCGCGGATCGCGACAAACTGTCGCATTGCAGACATTTAGGCTTATCGAATCTGGTATAAATGTATATGTATAAAAAAGTTTCACAACGGCAACATACTTAATGTTGCCGTTTGTGCCAAACCATTTGTGGCCCGTAGGTGCTTGTTGGGGTAGGGTCGAGGAGGATAGTAAGCAGGTCGGGTTGTGCGTGACGCGTGTACCTGATCTCGTGAATGTTTAATACAACAGCACGCATATTACACGCCATCGATAATTTCCTTTAATCGCCGAGAACATCTAAATGTTCTCTGAATATAATCGCGTATTGTATATCTAATCGTTTAGAATTAGAAGCAAAATTATTTAACTAGTACGCTCTTATTAATTTAGAGCTTTATAGTAAATGGCATGTGAGGAATATATCGATGAAAGATTAGACATAATATGTCATATTATATATATGTATATTATTTTATAAATATTAGTGAGCAAGACCTTTTAACCCTTACTTGGTCGTTAATCATACTTGGATCTATCTTTATCTGTATTTCAAATTTTCTTTTTAATCTGAAGATTTAGTTTGTAATATTATTTATTATTGCGCGATTTTTTTAAGCTCAGCTAGAGTAAATAAGCCTGACAATTTATTATCCAATATTAAATTGAGAGCTTCAGCATTAAATAATCTTATTATTAGAGAAATATATTATAGAATAAATAAGGGCATCTATTAGTAATTAGTTTTATAAGTATCTTTTTTATAAATGTCATTTTTCTATCACTGAATAGCTATAATAGGATCTGTTTATAGCTGAATAACATATAGATTGATGAAATAAGCGATTAAATAGCATAAATTACGAAAGTAGATCATATAAGCTTGGCTGCACGATTTTTATTTTTACAACAAAATAACTTTTCAGAGCGATTAATCTAAATATCCGTCTACACATCATACGCAGTATGTTTAGGCGTGCCTAAGAAAACAATTAGATTTCGCATTCTAGGAACACATTTGCGGTCTGCGTGTGTTTGCTTTTATCGGATCGATAGATGCACCGAAACGTGAAGATGAATCACAGTAGGATAGGTTTAGAGATAGATTTACAGAGGAATATGTAAACCAGGCGAGCGATGTCAAATCGATATTCACGTCAATTCGAAGAGGACTCAATATTAATTGAGATCTTTACCTCTTTTTGCGGCACAGGAATTATGACGACAGGTATTCCCGCTTTTTCTTCAAACAACTTTCTTTTGCTTAACCCATGAGTGCTCGTCAAATATGTCGCATTTTAAACAAGTGACATATAACAAATATTACGAACTTGCATATTTTAAAACATTATATAATATTTTATATTTTAATTAGATCAACAGAATCCATCTATTATCGATCATATTTTACTTATTAACTCTCAATTCTCAAAATGAATTTAATATATTTTGGAATAACGTGTCAATCTAAAAAAAAACCCTTTTATTTTTTATCCCTATTTAATTTTTTATGTTTGTTAATCAGTAAAGTTTCTTAATTTATCAACTTAATTCATGCTGTTTACTGTAGCGGACAGTCGGGGAAATACGGACACCGAGTAAAACCGGACACTGCCATTTTGATATTTTCCTGTCATCCGGCCGTACCCTTTCCGCAAGCCCGTGGGCTTGACTCGAACCCATACACGTGACACTATCGCGGAAAAGTACGGATGACCGGGATGACGCAGGAAAATACCAAAATAGCAGTGTTCAGTTTTACCCGGTGTCCATATTTCCCCCATTCTCCCCTAATCGTGAACAAAGTTTTTTAGATTCTGCAAAATAACATATCTTAGAAAGATGGAAAAGATAATAAAACAGATTACATATTGTATATAATGTATTGTGCATAGTGTGTATTATGTGATAGAAAAATTTGTTTACAATAAAGTTTTACATTTATAAAAATTAAAAAAATCTTATTCTTTTTAGATGTCATAATTTTGTTAATTAATACGATAGTAAACGAGGACCAAAAATGAAAGTTGATAACATTATTTATAAGACGCTGCTTTATAATCGCTGCGTCAACACATAATTATTCTTGGATTAGGCAACACGGCATACAGCGCGACATACAATGCGAATACTCACGAGTTAATAATTAAAGGCCGTGTGTTTTATTTATCATTGGAACAAAGACCCCATTCTATGCGCAAATGTACCTATTGATGATGTTTACCATGATAGGTTGTGATAGCTAGGTTTCATTCGCGCTATTACGATCAATGTCTAAATTCTTGTATTTAATCTTTCCCGATTTTCGTTTAATAACGTAATGTCGTAGTGGCAAAACTAAGTAAAAAAAAAAACAATATAAGGTATCCGGGCGTATCTAATATTTTTATAAAAAGTTTTAATCTTTACCAAGCTAAAAATGTAAAAATTTTGTAATGAAGCAGTATTAAAATTATATAACATTACAACAAAGTAATTTGCAGAATTTTAATTTAAATTCCAGTAAAAATGTAGCGTTTAAGAAAATCTTACGTATAAAGAAAACATTAGAAGTACTAATGTACATAACAAAAAAAATATCACAAAAATACATCATTAGCGAACAAACTAAATAATACGGAATTTTCCTACTTTTGCATTTTGGAACTAAAATGCCTTCTAGAATTATCTTTATCTAGAATGAGCTACATAAAACATTATAAGCTGTTTTAGTACACAGAAAAAAGTATCAAATTAACACTGATATATTTATATATACGCAAGAATGTATGATCTTTTCTTATAAGAATTTTAACTTTTTATTTCAACTTTTTTTTTCTTGATTGAATTTGTATAAAACTTCGTTGAACTATATAAATGACTTCATTCAAGCAAGTTTTCTTCGTTTAACGCAATATAATCTCATTTCAAGATTACTCCTCCATTGCCCTCGTTCGCCAAACGAACGTCAGTGCCCTCGTGTAAGCCCTGCGCCGCCCTTGTATGTTTGTCACTGTATTAGTGTGATATTGCCACATAGTTTTCTCAGATAAAGGGCCACTATAAACGTCTGTTAAATTCTAACCGACTATTAAGACTAACTTTTCAGAATAGTCAATAGAAGTTGGCTATTCTGAAAGTTAACGGTTGATTAGAGATTAACAGACGTTGGAAATAGCGTCCAAATACAGTCTTGTAAGAACAAGAGGATGAAACATTGATCGGTAATTCGGTACATCAATCTAAAACAGTAAAACTTGCAGCAATTGTAGGAAATACTATGTAGTGAATACCTGTAAAGCCGTTTTTCTAAATGAACCTTAAAGAGTTATAAACAATTATAGGTGAATCTTTTCGCTGCGTATCGATATTAAGCCGCTTATCCTCTACCCTCGCGATTGAAATAAAACTTTGAGAAATGATTTAAGCATGCTTCAGGATCATTTAAGCTAGTCAGATTTGCTGCAAAATTGCCAGGAGCACCAGAAGTTAGAATCATTGTTAAGGCTTGGTGGAGTCTAAAGAGCCTTCAGGGAGAGACTGGCCAATTCGCCGCCATTTGCATGCAAACAGGAAATAGTAGAAATCCTGTTTTTCTCTCTACATTTTTATATTAATACCTTCGTCTTTCTTATTTCCGGTTTGAATGCAAATGGAGATAGAAACAATTCGCCTTTTGGCCAGTCTCTCCCTGGAGGCTCTCTAGGTTAAGTCTACCGTCCAAACTGTAAGAAGTACTACTGTTTCAAGCACTGTTTGCTTGAAATAAATTAATTTATAGATCATGAATAAGTAGAAGAGTAGCACTGCAAAACTGTACTTAGCTGTTGCTAGTTGCTGCAAACAAGCAATTTTGTGGAAACATTCAGGAACATTATCCACAGAAATACATGCAAATGTAATTATTAGTTTAGGCGGCAGACCCTGCCAAGCCACCAATAATGATTCTGAATTCTGGTGCTTCTAGGAATTTTGCAGCAAATCTGATTAGCTTTAAATATTTCCGTGGCACGCTTAAATCATTTCTCAAAGTCTCACTTCAATCGCGAGGATAGAAGATAAGACACTTAATATGGATACACCAACGGAAAAATCCATCTATGATTGTTTATAATTCGGCTCTTAGGGTTCATTTAGAAAAACGGCTTTACAGGTATTTACTACATAGTATTTCCTACAATTGCTGCAAGTTTCATCAAAATCAGCGAAGAGCAGTGCGTAGTGTCCCCTTGTAAGTATTTGCTCTTGACATGAGTGCTGCGCATAGATATATCATTTTAGCACTTTCAAAATCTAATAATCTAAAAATTGTATTAACAAAATTTTGAAAAATATAATTATATAAATATAATCTAAAAGATTGTAAATGGAAAGTAAAAAAGTTTCAGAGTCAACTTTTAAGCCACATGTATAT